ACGTGAACTTGGACTCTGCCTGGCTCTTGGCTAGTGACGTTGGTCGTCAGCGGGGGGACTCCTCGGTCGCAACAGCATTGCGAAACCTTCAGGCTTCAGTTGGTTTGGCGACGCAGACAAAGCAACTGGAGAAGCGACAGACGTCGCCATTGTGCACGCAATGGATGCAGCTGCTCACTCCGAGTTTTTTGTGCCGATTACCTCCGCGTTCACAGAAGAAGGTATTTTCCAACAAAAATTTTCGCAGTGTCAAGCGCCCTTACGTTGAATCACTGCGGAAGCTGCATGCTGCAAGAATCGGGTAATTTGCAGGATACAGACCAGGTCTCCCAGCCCTTCTTTGGGCGCCCTTGTCACATGCCGGCACACCTGATGAAACCAACGAGACATTTCTTCAGGAAAAAGAAGCAGTCAGTGACCTGACCAGGTACTTCATACATTCCGAAATTTCTACGTTAAAGCCAGCATCTTCCGTTCGGAAACTGCTCAGAAAATCTTACGGGGAAAGAAAACAGGCAGAGATTGAAAAGGAAGCGTTGACAAAATATGCTCAAGTTCAAGTACATAGGCGGTACTTAAACTTGCGCGTATTTTTGTCAACGCTTCCTTTTCAACGTCAATTTCAAACCCTGGGATGCACTTAATGTTTCCCAGGGTTTGAGAAGCATTAGCAATGGCAGTGATGCACCTGGTTCTTATTTCAGGCGCAATGCCCAATTCATCTTGGTCTGAGAAACTCAGTCTCTTAGTAAAACGTACGAAGGAACCAAGTATCGCTATATTTCTTTTTCTTTATCATGCGCATTTGATTGTTACTGCAGCAGCTTTCTAAAATCTTATTTACTGCATTTTACTCAAACAGAAATAAAACGGTGATTGGGGAACGCTTAACCGGTAAGCGATGCTCGGAAACAGGAACGCTAAAAAGCTGAAAAGAAACCATTTTCGTAAATATAACGGTAACCATAACAGTAACCGGACCTTCTTTTTCTCAATTTGAGTCTCTGGTGTGTTCTAGAGCCACTAAATGAGCTGCGCTTAGAGTATCGGCACTCCGTTGCTCGACATTGTTGTAAGCGCCGCCATTTTGGGGCTTGTACAAAGCTGACGCAACTGCCTATCGTCATGAGTCCAAAGTGCGACTTCCTCAGCATTAGATCCGGTGTTAGGAAACTTATGTAATGTTGCATTGCTGTGTCGCGAATTGTGGAAACATTCGTGGAGGGCGCAAAAGCGTTTCCTGTGATTTTAAATAAAGCTTGAGATAACTGGCAACCATGATTTTAAGCCACAATATGGCCAAGTGTCGTTACTGTGAAGCGTAGCTTATTTAGTGGCACTAGTGTGTTCCTTTAAGGTAGAGCCTTATTCGACGAAGGCCGCCTGCCCCCCGTCGATCATGCACAACATTTGCAGTTTTGAGATTCACCTTTCAACACCGGTGTTTTTGGCATTATCGAAAAAAAGTAACGATATACGTTACTCTTCACCTGCGAATAAAAGGAACGCTTTACCGACCTATACTTTACCTCAAAATAAAAGGAAAGTTCAACCGTTACTAATAGAAAGTAACGCACGCCACTTTTGCGTTACTTTTTCCTTATGAATTAAGACGCTTCACTGTTTTGACATTACAGGTAAGCATAAACACCGTATTTCAAGAAACCGCATGTTTGCAAAAACTTACCACAATTTAAATGTAATGTTTTTACAGCGGAGCTGTTAAGAGCTAGGTTCCCCAGGATCGTGTCCGGTATGTCGACACAAACCTACCTGGACAGCTACCGCCATCTATAAGCGACGGCGGCAAGCACACATGGTTTCCGCCGTCGCTCGTAGATGGCGTCGACCTTTCCAGTTATAATAGACCCTTTCCGAAATTCAGTGCCATCTGGTGGTTTGTAAAGCAGTTTAGGTTTTGCCATATCAATGGCGGAAATGAACTTGTATCGGCACCGTCGCTTTCGCAAGTCAACGGCACGCGAGGAATTGTTCAGTGTGAGTTCTTTCTCGATCACTTTCAGTTCGATGGTGACCAAGAACCTGCATTCAGAACAAAGCTCCGATCCCCTCAGATGCCTCAAGAAATTCTATACACCAAAGTGCTTTAAAGCCGATTGTGTGCCGCCCACAGATCGACTGAATCTGAGTTATTAGAAATAAACGCTTACGTAGCTCTTGTGATTCCATTCCTTCGTCGCGTCGTACTGACCCCCCGAATGTACAGGCCTGACAAAATCCGCTTAGGAGCATCTTCAACGTCCTCCTTTATCAGTCACTAGAAGGCTGCCATTGGTATGGCACAAATGCCGTTTCACTGATGATGATAGTGATCAAAGTGGCCAGACTGAATTTCGGAAAGGGTCTATAGAAGAATGGATAGTTGGGCGGGTTGGTGGGAATTCATCGTAGGAAACAGCACGAAAAACAGACGACGACGAAGAAAAAGCACACAATGCATCGAGTACAGCTCCGCTGGTCTTTCTTCTTCACGAGAGTGGAAAGGCTGAAGGATTTTTAAGACTTAGTGTAATGTTTTTAAAACGTAGACACGGATGCTACTTCGCTAAAGACAAAAAAAGAATAACCCGTGATCGGCATCACTCTAATCAACGCTACCAAAGATGACTTGTCGACTGCGCGAATGGGAGCGGGTCTTTCCACTCTGACGCCAATTTTTTTCCTCTCATCATCTTCCTTCCCTATGCCTGTACTCGGCGATTGATCTTTAATCGGTATTTTTAAGCAACATGACACCTAAACACTTCTTATGAGTTGTGAATGCGAAAGCATTCTCGGCGGTGACAGGAGCAGAAGCAGCCGCAACGCCGGCAGGGAGCGCTGCGGTGGGCCACGCAAACCGCCCTGGCTCGCTGCAGGCTTGCTGGTGACTGCTGCACCGCTGGGTGAGGCCCCTATAAAAATGGCTTCCGCCATTCAATATACATCTGACTGACATTCTATTGCCCCTATCGCCATTCGATTGCTCTCGCTTGAAATTTATGGACACGGTATTACCCCTTTATTGAAGTTTGGCACTGACGTGGTAGGCGCTACAATGGCAATCAAATGGCGAAAGAACCCTTTAGCGTATTTTTATTGGCAGGTGTCAATACAGAATTCGGGTATCGTCTTTTTATACTCATCCTATTGTCAATCAAGCGCCCCCGGTGGCAGTGCAATACCGGCCAAATTCTGCTGCAAGTAAATCAAACTTTAGGTACAAACCATAGTTATAATATACGCTAGAGGTTCAATTGGCTCTTGTGTTCCGCGGCAAATTGAAGAAAACCATACATGGTAAATTTCTTCCAAAATGTAATTTAATTACAATTACAATCATTTCGCTCCAAAAGTAGTTTAACCATAATTACAACTACTACAATGTGAAAAATAATTCATTACAATTACAAATTACATCAAAAAGTAATGCAATTACTTTACAATTACTTATTTCTGGGAGCGACCATTTTCGTCTATATAACTTCAAACAACATGTTAAGGATGCAACGCATTTCTTCATTCCTTGCCCAAATGTTTGAATCGCCGAATATATGTCACGAATTGTACATTTTTTTTGTAAATTTTCTTAAATTAATGAGAGAAGTTAACAATTTGGGATAATGAAATCCTACGTTCTTATATTTTCAATAAATAATAATAAATTAGTTTATATACTCGAAGACACCAGATCACTAAAATAAATTTGGTTGGCACACTTTTGTTAGCAAGGCAAATAAAAATGTGACAATTAGCCATATCTGAATATTTTAATAGTGTTAATATATGACTACAATCTACATCCACACGCGCTAATACAACCATATTTACAGACAAACGTTTCATTTTTTCCTAAATTATTTACAGTGAGTTGAAATTACAATGGCTCAAAATTTATAAGACCCAAAAATGGGCTCCCGAATCCATCATGACAATATCCACAGGTGCGAAGTCAGCTCAAAAATGCTTATGCAAATAATATCCGAAGTAAAACCAACAAAAAATAAACGTGAAAATAATACAAAAAAATGCGACAGTACTCAAAGAGGGGCGCAAAAAAACTGGCAAACAAATAAATAAAAAAAAATTACTTCATAGACCCTTAAAAACCTCAGCCTCGGCCGCCTTTTTTTTTTCTGACATTTTGTTTTGTTGGGACATTTGACGATATTTACGACATTTCTTTTTTATGACTAACACTGAAAAAAAAGAAAAGAAAAATGCTGTCGACGACAGTGCAAAAAGCGCGAGCTCGTTGCTTTGGATCGCGCGCCACGAGCGCTCCAGCATCGGGTGCAGTCATGCCAGTCAAGGCTACTCGCTCGCTGCTTGCACGGCCTTCGCAGCTATTCTATGCAAGGGTGATAATCCGTCGTACTGCACACAAGTACAGCTCCAGAAAAATGCGTACGAAATTACTGCGGCTGGGCTCTGTCGCCTCCGGTACACGTAATCTTCATTTGCAACAGGAGTGACGGACGGCACCGGGCGAAGTTTGAAAATGGAGAACGCTTATTTTGATGTTCCTAAGAACGCGACGAGTACAGGCGGCAATGTTGACAACACGCACCAGCGCGGACACCGCCGAGCCGCCGAGCCGAGCACCCGGCCACACACACGCCGAGCTACCGACATTTCACAATGCAGTCAGCGGCATCCAAAGAAAACGTGTTGTTGACGTAAAAATAACTAAGATGTCAACATAAAAGCTGCTATTTTTACGTCCATGACGCCATTGTTCACGCCCCCTGGATATCCAATCGGTGTCGAAAATACGCAGCCTCCGATTCCAAACCGAAACTAAAATCCCGTCGTAGTTGTGTGGCTAAGCGAAGTTTCGTATCGCGTATAAAACTTTTATTTTAATACATTTGTTTTAGTTCTTTAAGTTTGTTAAAACGTTTTATTGTTTCGGTTCGCCACTGTTTTACGAATAATGTTACGTTAACTTTTTTATTTTCGCATTTTTATGCACCTCGAAACAAAGTCTTTTACAAGCCAATCCAATCCACCCTAAACTTCATTTGCGTCGAAGCTTCCGAAGCTTTGTTGCGGTTTGGTGTGTCTTTTATTTTTACGTAGAACTCATATCGATCCGATATGCCGCGTCCGAGAATGGATTTTGCGACTAATAAGTGGCGAGGCACCACGCGAGCAAGAATGAACAGCCCTGGAGGTTATGGGCACTGCTCAATTGGCTCATTCCTCGGTGCTTCTCGAAGGTAAGCCTTTTTTCTCTGTGTCCTCCTAAGCTTCCGTTCAAGCATCTCCTTGGTTTGTTTCCTTGCCCTGCCTTTGCCTAATCGCGCCCGAGAAGTGTATTCTGACAGGTATTTTCCTTAGGCGAGCATCTCTCCTCGCGCTTTTCGTCAAACCGTCCGACGGGTTGCGAGTTCTAATCGCGAAGCCATGATTCGGTCACCCAACACGTCGGTCGACCTGTCAAACGTTTTATCGCACGTGGGTCGTCACTTCGCGTCGGCACGCATCGCTGCCTACCCATATCTGTACTGGCCAGGTTTCTTTGTCGGCCCGCGCGTCTTATCGCTGTGGGTGATCTCAAGCGACGCGAGCGAAACGCGTAAAAAAAGAAAACCCTGTTGGAAAATATCGATGATGGAAAGATGATGGAAAAGGCTCATACAAGCGTAACCGTAATATGGGACATCCTATACAAGCGAAAAGGCAGCTCCAGTATAGTGGATTACGGCGGAACGATACAGGTAGGCGGAACCATCCAAGCGTGTCGTATTATGGGACGTCCTATACCGGCGTAGTGGATTATGGCGGAACCACGCAGGCGGACGGAACCATACATGGATAACGTAATCTGGGACATCCTATACCAGCGAAAAGGCGATACCGGCATGTTGGAGCCATATGGCTCCAACATGGTGGTTTCGCCTTTTCACTGTTGTACACGGCAATTTAGTTTTAAGCTTTACATATATGTTTAGAAAGGTCGTGAAAGCTAAATTAATGCGATTTGTGCAGGCGAGTTATATGGCCAGGCGTACGTAGATAGGGACCTAGTCGTAACGATCAGTCAGATAATTAAATACAATTTGTTAATTAACTTTTTAATTAGTGAAAATGAAACTATGGTTTCTATTGGAAACTTGCTGAGTCACTGAAAACCACAAAATCAACTCTTTTTAGAAGGATATATTGCAGGGTAGCATTTTACGCGCTCTGTAAAAATGTTTTATTTGGACGAGTTTCTAGGTTTCAGTTTCTTATCAGAGCTCATCTTTGCGCCCACGGTCCTGTTCCCCAGGGGCTTAGACGCGCAACACACGCGCGCCTTGCTTCCCTCCATCCTACGAGGGAGGCGAGGGGGCGGCTTCGCACTGCGGCCACCGGGCAGCAGGACCGTAGGTGCAAAGATGCGCTCTGGTAAGAAACCGAAGTCTGGAAACGCGTCCAAATTGACCATTTTTTTAGAACACCATAAAATGCTGCTCTTGTCTTATATCTTCACAAAGAAAATTGATTTAGTGTGTTTTGATGATGCTTAGAAGTTTCTAATTGGAACCATGGGTCTATTTTCACTGATTAAAAATTTCAGGAACATAGAGAGAGGCTGAAGCGGTTTTGTATTTGAGAAAACACTTTTAAATCTTCATTTGACCTCCAGAATCTCAAATATCAAAATTATTTGCCAATTTAATTAATCGAGGCTGCATAGAGTCATTTTTAAAGCGCTTTGAAAGCACTTCCCTAGAGAGCGACGTCACAAGAGCAGCTTTCAAAATTTTTGTTCACGCATCTTCAGCGCCTATGAAAGCTATGCACGCACATGCTATTTTTTAAAGGGGCAGAAAAATGTGTCACGACTGGTGCCAATGCGGGAGAATATACCTAGAAAACTTGCGACTGGACGCGCGGCCCTTAAGCGACACACACTTGGCGGCTGAAAGGTCTTCTTACGATGTCACTATTGATAGGATGTTTTTTTTTGTGTTTTCTCACGTTTAGTTATATCTTTGTGGAAAACGAACGGGATATTCAGATTCGCGGGATAAAACCACGCGAGAATGAACCTCCATCTAGTTTTCTGAAAGAAGTCTGGCACATCTCTGTAATAAGCCGACTGATCATTACAAATTAGCCTTTTATACCATGCCGCCCTGGCCATATAACTCACATGTACAGACTGCGTAAATGTAGCTTTTACAGCTTTTTTTTTTAAATCTGTAAAATATACAAAAAAAAACACTCTGTAGAATGTCCCCCAATACAATATGATTGTATGCTTCCTTTCTCGCTTGCATTGTTCAAGAAAGACTTGTGGATATCCAGCGTTTCATTGGAATGCCGGATGTCAATGAGTCTACATCAGTGAGTGGTTTCAAACAATTATGATGTTTGCACACCAGTAAGCTCTTATCTGAGGCTCACCAGGAGCACTAAGAGCAGAGGCAAAATGTCGTGACCTGGTAAATTTGGTTGCAGGTATTTATTTTTAGAAGAACTGCATGCAGCAAAGCTTAACTTTGCTCAAAAGAAGATAATTAAAAATTCAATACTGAACAATGGTGTCCCTTGAGCTGTCAGACCAAACTCCCACTCTTGTCACTCAGGAGTTCCTAACTTGTGCGTAGAGGATCAGCACAACCCAGATTTGTGCTGCAAGCGCACCTGCAATATAAAAGTTGAAAAAACATGAGATGAAATATGAGACGTTTACAATTCTCTGTAATGAGAAAATACAGTACAGCTCTCGAAGAGGAAGATGGGAGGGCATGCCCCTCCTTCCCCTCCCCTCCTCCTCTTCTGCTCCCTCCGATTTAGGGGGAAATTTCCCCACTAAATTTAGCGGGTTAAGTTTCCCAATAAATTTAGCGCGGAAATTGATGTCACATAACCTCAACAAAAATGCAGTTTTTCCGCTAAAAGTAGCGGGGAAAATGACGTCGCATGACCGTGTCACGTCATCCATAAAAACATTCAGTTTCTCAGCTAGACTTAGCGGAAATATTAACGTCACATCACCACAACATTAATTCAATTTCCTGCCAAGTTTAGTTAAACGGTTACGCCGACAGCGACGCCGCGAAACGCGGAAACGGGTGCTAACAGCTGCGCTAAAAACTAAATGCATCAGGTGAAATAAAGTGAACAGTAGATATACTGTAAGAAAAAGAAGAGAATCTAAGATACCGTTCTCAGATCCTTCCTTTTGTCCGTTCTCAAATGTTTTGATATCAAGAAATGTTTATCTCTTTATTCATACCCAGAGAACCCGTCCCAGTTTCAGCATGAATGCAATAAATCAATGCAGACTAGACCTAGTAAACTATAATGCACATGCACATAAAAATGAATGTTTGCCACATAGTCATGTATCAGTCAGTGGCTCAGATCTCAAAATACATTTGTATTGAGGAACATTCCTGAATAAAACTTCTGGGCTTCGAATTCAACAGTTTGTACTTCCATAACAACACTGTATGGCACTGATTTTTTTTGTTTTTTGTGACACATCAGAAACAGCACAACACTGTCATCCTTGCATACCTAACAAGAATTTGTATTTCTTTTTTTTTTTTAGCATGGCATGTGCTATTCTAATGCCCATACAGCCTCCTTTAACAAAATTTCCTTTGTATAGCTTTTTATTGGTTCTTATTTAGCTCGCACGACAGATTCGGTACCTTGAATTCTCACTCGCCATCAACAGTTTTATATATTAATGTAATAGCGAAAGACAAGATGTATGGACTTGAGTACGGTTCAACAAGCACAGATGTTGAGAAAAGTACTGAGGAAAACTCAAATGTCAAAATAAAAATAAGCTGGAATGTGGATACAATTATGGACATGGTCATGAATACAGTTAGCAGATTCAATATAAAGAATATGTGTTAGACGCACGCTCAAAGAAACCTGTTGCATCATTATTCATTCAAATTACTTTGCAGAACCCAGCGCTGCAGTCTCAGGTGGAAGTTCGCTGGATGAGTCTACTGAAAATGAGTGTAGACGGAAAAAGCAGTTTGATCTGCGATAATGAGCATTACATAAGTGACATGTCATTATTACTGTTACAGTGCCGAATGTTCCAAACTGTCAGTCGCATCATTCTGTGAATTCCCTCCGTACATTACAGGGTTTGGCTCTTTCGAATGCTTTGCGAGAAAAATGATGAACTGGAAATATCTAGAGTAGTTCTAGAAAAACTATTTCCAGAATCTTATCTCAGCATCGCAAAGAATACAAAAAGTTTCTAAAGACAAGGTTAGTGCAGGAGTTGAATAAACTAAACACTTTGTTTTTCGAAACCATCTTGCCGTAGTAAACGTATGAAGTTCCCCTAGGTAGAGCTAGTCATTACGGATGATTGTGCCCATTGCATACCATAAAAATTTAATTTGCGACCTACAATATTTACAAACTCAATTAACTCTGAATAAGTGGACCACTTGGCATTAAAGATTGGCCTCACCATGACTGTCTGCCAACATCTACATAATAATTTTCATGAACCTATGTATTTCAAGAAAATATTTGGTGCGAGCTGCTTAAAACACAATAGCACTTTTTAACGAGTGCTGATTGTTGGGCAAGTTTTGTACGGTACGTTAGAAAACATAATTGCGCTTTGAAGACGGGGACATAGGAAGGACAGACACCACCGAGTGCTAACTTTCAACTGATTTAATTCAAGAACCTCAGCGTAAAAACACACTGCGTCACCGCACCACATCTCAACCAATCCGTGGCTCTGCCACGGACCGCAAGTACGCCAACTCCTTATCCGCCAAGTCAATTGACGCCACACTGACACAACACGTGCCAGAACTATTTATAGCATCAGCCTCCATAATCTCTCTAACAGTCATATCTTTGTGCCTAGCAAGAACAGTAGACAAAGCAAATAATGGTTTGCACTCGCAGTGATGATCTGTCGTGTCACTGTCATGACTGAGGGTGCAAACAATTATTTGCTTCGTCTACTGTTCTTGAGAGGCACAAAGATAGGACTGTTAGCGAGATTATGGAGGCTGACACTATAAATAGTTCCGGCACAAGTTGTGTCAGTATGGCGTCAATTGACTTGGCGGATAAGGAGTTGGCATACTTGCGGTCCGTGGCAGAACGGATTGGTTGAGATGTGGTGCGGTGACAAAGTTCGTTTCTACGCTGAGGTTCTTGAATTAAATCAGTTGAATGTTAGCGCTCTGTTGTGTCTGTCCTTCCTATGTCCCCATCTTCCAAG